TCACATTGATATACCGACTTTTTACTTGGAATTGCATTCTAAATTAAAATTTAATTTTTTTTATTATATTCTTGAATTATTTGGATGGATTGATATTAAAAATAATAAATAAATTATTATATTTAATAAATAGTAAGTCGAATCCTTATGTTTGACAACAGGTAACAACAAAACACTGTTAGGCTGTTGGTTTCTGTGGGGATTTTAGCCATAGGCAGAAAATAAAGCCGAGTTATTATGAGGAAGCAACACCAAAAAGTCTTCATTGAGGCTTTCTGTTGTGACTTAGCTGCAATTATTTATATTTCTCATTGCCTTAAAAACTAATCTCAAATCCAACGCCATTTTTCCACCTCCAAAGTCTCCTCCTCCACTACCAGCTCTCTTGCTCTGTGTCTAAATCTGAGAAAAGCTGAAAAAGACAGGGAGGGTTCCGTTTTATATTGTATAAAAACAAATCCATGCATGTTCAGTACTGGTGTCTGATGAAGGAAAAGACTCACATTCTTCCATTCTTTACCACTCTCACTCTCATTGGCTTCACCGCTGCCCAACACCACTCCTTTTCTAGCAATGCTGACCCCAGAGACTTACGAACAACACATATTGAACAGAACCAGAGACAGCTTTTATACTACAGAGAGGAGCTTGATGTAGAAGATGAGTATCTGATGTTACCACCTTGCCTCAAATTTGACAACCCAAGACTCAGAAGTGCCTACATTGCACTCCAAGCATGGAAGCAAGCCATCATCTCGGATCCCTTGAACCTCACATCCAACTGGGCGGGACCTGATGTTTGTAATTATACTGGTGTCTTCTGCGCCACAGCTCTTGATAATTCGTCGATCCAAACCGTTGCTGGGATTGATCTAAATCATGGCGACATGGCAGGCCACTTGGTTGAAGAGCTTGGACTCCTGGCCGACATTGCCTTGTTTCACATCAACTCCAACAGATTCTGTGGGAGAGTACCGAAAACTCTCAAGAAACTAAAACTCCTCTACGAGTTGGATCTAAGCAACAATCGTTTTGCAGGCGGATTTCCTTGCGTTGTTCTTGATCTTCCAAAGCTCAAGTATCTTGACCTCCGATTTAATGAGTTTGAAGGTGATTTGCCGAAAGAGCTGTTTAATAAGGATCTCGACGCAATTTTCGTAAACCACAACAGGTTTGCTCTTGAATTACCGAATAATTTTGGTAACTCACCTGTTTCTGTTATGGTTCTGGCGAATAATAAATTCCATGGATGTTTTCCGACGAGTCTGGCCAACATGTCTAGGACCTTAAATGAAGTGATTCTTACGAACAATGGCTTGCGCTCATGTTTACCTAGGGAGATAGGATTGCTAAAGAAAGTTACGGTTTTTGATGCAAGTAATAACAAACTCGTCGGCGCTTTGCCTGACACCATCGGAGACATGGAGAGTCTAGAACAGCTAAATGTGGCACATAATATGCTGTCAGGAGATATCCATGATAGCGTGTGTTTGCTTCCACATCTGAAGAGCTTTAGTTATGCTTATAACTTCATCACTGGTGAGCCACCGGCATGTTTGGATTTGGAAGATTTTGATGATAGCAGGAATTGTTTCAGGGCAAGGCCCAAACAGAGATCAACACTGCAATGTAAAGTGTTCTTGTCTAGGCCAGTTCATTGTGAGGCTTTTAACTGTCACGAGTTTGATCCTTCTCCACCATCACAGCCGCTGCCGCCGCTACCCGTTACTTCACCTCCACCGCCACCCCCTCCACTATCATCGCCCCCACCACGACCACGACCACCACCTTCACTAGTTCCTCCATCAGCACTTCCCTCACCTCCCCCTCCATCATCAATGCCGCCGCCACCCCCAATACACTGTGTTCCACATCCACCTTCACCTCCACCACCTCCTCCCTTCTACTCACCTCCACTACCCCCACCAAACTCACCTCCTAATTCACCTCCGCCGCCACCTATTTATCAATCACCACCCCCGCCAAACTCATCTCCACCACCTCCTCCCTTCTACTCACCTCCACTACCCCCACCAAACTCACCTCCTAATTCACCTCCGCCGCCACCTATTTATCAATCACCACCTCCGCCAAACTCATGCCCCCCGCCTCCCTCATGTGCAGAACCTCCTCCACCTCCATCACCCCCGCCATGCCAGGCGCAACCGCCTCCAATTCAATACTTGCCACCTCCACCTCCTCCAGTTTATAATCCACCACCACTGCCAGCTCCAGTGTATAATGGTCCATTGCCACCAATTACTGGCATATCTTATGCATCTCCACCACCTCCATCAATCAGCTAAACTGGCAATTCGTTTGAGAGATTTCTCCTTTCACCAGCCCTATGAAATCACAGTTACTTGACATGTATTCTTGGTAACATGGGGCAAAGACCGGACTTATGTTATAGTAATGATTCAAGAATTGTTTCACGCCATTGAACGTAGCAGAATTGATAATTGAAAAGACATTTGGAGATAGAAAATAACAGAAGGAAGAGAAGTGTGCAAGAAGATTAAAGTTTCCCATGCTCCTATGATTGAATTGCCATGCTTGTTTTTGAGTAGTTAATAAGAGGAAAGATGTAGAGAGAAAGACAGATTGTAATTACACATATGAGATTCGTATTAGCAATCTATCTGTGCTTTTCAATGGAAGGATCTAATGGCCACTTCAACGTCACTGTTTATTATGTTCTTATATTTCTAGGATACAGCAGTCTCATCACCCCGGGGTTTTTGCTTCTCTCTACTTCTGCACTCATTTCGCCATAATTAAGGTGAAAGGGAGCAAGAAAACATCTTCCCAGTTGCAACCTTATAATATTAGGTTCAATTCCTATCTAATAACACTTAAAATATATTTCGATGCTCATTTGGCTTGTTAAATTAGTGTGACAGATTTCAGGTTCATCCTTTGAAACATAAGAACTAATCCAACGAAAATCAAAGCGCCCTCAGGTTCTTCAGTTTTCGCCATTGAATCACTTCCAAGCTGAAATTCAGGTTTCTAGCACCAAGAGAGTACTTCAAGCTCCTCTTCTACGGTGGCATATTTCACTTGAAATTTTGAGTGTACTAAAAATAAGATAGATCAAAACCATGAAAAGCAGGTATAACATGACAAATGCCAAGGCAGATTTTTCAGTTGATAGTCAAGAGTCTTCTCAGATATGGTCTCCTGCTGTATATTCATTTCTCAATAGCTCGTCATATCTTTTACAGCTACCTGGAAGATGTTTCCCTTCAACGATGCATCAGATTTCAACGTTTCAATGTTATTATGTGAACTTATGGCAAGAAGATCACTTAGTTTTAGGAATTATTAAGGATGATTTGGTCACTTAATAAATATTAATTGTGTGAGAAAATTGTGATTTGTTAGAAAAGTTTTTAGAGGAAGTGTTGCTAGTTTTTTGAAAGATTATACTGTGTTTTTTCCTTTATATTGAGTGTTGAGGAAATTTGCTCATGTATATTAACATAATAGATAATGGATTATGAGTGCTATAATTTATCATATTTAATAGCTCATTTCTTATTTATTTTTGTGTTTTAAAAGTATTTTTAAATAATTAAATTTTTTTATTGGCTTCAATTTATTTTTTTTTGTTGTTTTTAGCTCATTTTGATCATTGATATAAAAAATAATTTTTTAAAATAAAAAAATATTATTTTGATATATTTTTTTAATAAAAATTATTTTAAAAAACAACCATAATTATATTTTCAAATAAAAAAGTCCTGAAAAATAACTATAGCCTCAAATACATTGTTTTGCTTTATTTATAATGCTTTTGACTTTTCATTCAAGAAATGATGCTATTGATTTCACGTGACACATTTGTAAGGCAAATATAAGCTCACAAATTGGTTTCATGCTCTTAAGGATGGGTTTATGGGCAATGAAAAAACATGTATTAATTATTATGCACGTGAAAAAAGCCAAAGAAGAAACCATGCTATGATAATAATAAAAAAAATAAAAAGAACAAAGGGCAGAACAGAAGAATGACTACATGAAAAAAACTCGTTTTGATAAACCATGTTATAACAATATAGAGGAATCCATGTGAAAAACCATAGGAGAAACCATGCTATAAAAGTTTGTATGGTGACAACAAAGAAAGAGAGCTATAAATGGTCACCAATCTTTGTACAAAAGAGAAACATGATATTAAAGGTGTGTTTGTTTGACATTATGATTTAAAAATATCGTAATCATAATCCAAACATACACAAATACCTAATTTGATTTGGTTAAGTATGAGGGTGGGGGGGGGGGGTTTCTATGATGACAATCCCAGCATGTTACAAATTAGGGTTGCTATGGTAAGCTGAAAGCCCATGAACATGGATTACTAGGATAATTATAAATGTGAGTAATTATGAATTGATTTTGTATTTATTAAATATTTAAAATGGATTAAGTTTGTATGAATGTGTATGGAAATTATGTATTTAAAAGTTTGGGTTAAATTGATTCTAAATGAATGAATATATTATATATGTGTTTGGTCAAATAAAAATGTTGATTTGTTATATAATTTCAAGGAACATTGCAATGGCCAATCTGTATCCACAACATAGAACGGAAAGGCATGTATCAAAGAGGATGAAGACACAGGATGATTCCTTTGTGATGCTTAGATGAACTGCTGTTTCACTCACGGGCTCAAGTGCAGCAATTGGCTTTTATGTGGGATTGCTGTGTGCACGCCTATTGAAAAAAAGAAAGAAAGGAAGACTGGCCATGCTTAACATTTTAGCTCCATAGAATTCCATGGAAACCTCAAGATCCATGAGTGAGTTCCATGAATAATTAGAAGTGTATTGGAGTATTAGATCCCCAACAACTAGTTTTGGATCAAGGCTTTGTTGTTGTTAATTGGAGACTTAGATCTTTCTCACCATGTGTTTCCGATATCCCTATGGCAGAACATTTTCGGTTGTGAATCAAGAAACACAACATCAGTAACACCCTTTTACTCTCTTGTGTGTAATTTATAGTTTCTAACTTCAAATAATACAAGACGTTCTGCATCAGATATTTGTTAGAACATAGACAAATGATTCGCTGAGACATTCTTGTTCACATTTGTTAGATCCTTTGCCATTATAGCTAAAATGTGATTGGTGGCTGCTCAACATTTGTCTACGACAGGATCCAGAGGACAAGCACAAGCTGAAAGAGGCTTCTAACTCCATGTGTTATAGATCACTGAAACGACATTCTCTTATTAGATTACGATTTCATGTTTTATCTTCATTATATTTCATAATTAACGAAAACATCTGAAAGGAACTCGCTCCAGTGGAGTGCATTAACCATACCATCAAACTATGAGAGATGGCAGAATTCACCAGATGAGCAAAAAAGAAACAAAATAATAGGTCATTATATGATGACTACGGATAAGTACCATAATTCGGGCAATATAACTTCATCCAAAATGGTCAGATCTGTGCTCTTTTGAAGCCGTTTATGATCATCCTCTTGGCCATTGGTACAGAAGACAAGACCTCATTCAGCCAGCTTGTTCCTGTTTGACAGCAAGGAAGGTAGATTTTTGTCCTGAAAATTTTGGGACTGTAATTGAATTTCAAATCTTATCTATCCAAATGGATTGCCTCCCCTTGAAGGAAGAGAACTTGAGGAGGTTGGGAGCAAGTATTCGTTGGTTGGTTGTTGAGCCATATCCAAGGACCCAAAAGGAAATCTCTCACTGCCAAGGTCGCCTGGTCCTTTTGGTCTGAAAGGAAATTCATTTAAGTATGAATAATTTCTATTCCATGTGAGAGGAGTTATCATCGTGTGCTTGGTGAACATAGTCATGCAAGAATGGTGACGGAAGACGAAGCATTATGCTTGTTGTCTATACATCAGCATAATGTGGTTTTGAATGTCAATGGTGTGGAAAAATGCATATGAAGAGAGCACCTCGTAGGATAATCCTCAGAAGAACATCATTGCAGTTTATACAGACCATGCAAATTTGAAACAGTGTGTGAATCCTATTTCCCACCGACTTTGACTCCCCCCCTCCTATCCTACCAGTCAATTGGGAAGTGAGATCCTTAAGAGTTAATAGGCAAATTAAATCAAGTGACATGGTGAGATCTAGTGAACTGAATAATAAAGATGACCAAATGGTGAAAAGTACTTTGAAAGCAAATGATGAGACCGAGGATAAAGAATGTTACCTGGAATTAGGCAAATTCATGTATGCTTGTTGTCCCATGTATCCACCTAAGATATAGAAAGCTGAATATGAGGACCAGATAGGGATCATTTATCAGTAGGTATTGAAGATAGGCAGAAGTGAATTTACCACAATGCATGGCTGACGCAAAGGGTGGGGACTGTGGAGGAAATGCGGAAGTATGCATTGGGAGACCACTGTGCATATTTCCCATGGAAGGAAACTACATCAAAAAGAGTATGTATATTTAGAAATTTACACAACAGGCTTAGATTAAAAAATTTATTCAAGAGAAACAAAAGAGCCTTGAAACAGCTCTGAACAAGAACAAAAATATTGCTTGCGGTAGATATGCTTTCTAATCTAGATATGTTTATGATAAAACACATCCAGGTCCTTGGCATGGCTATAAAGGTCATTGTATGCAAATTGCTTCTTGTATATGTTAACTATTGGTGAATTCAGCATGATCGTACAAGTCATATTCGGATATAATGCGTCTTATGGAATTTATTTGAGTTTCTGTTGGCTTTTTGAACCATATTTTTTAATCTGAAAACTTGTTTTAATGCCAATCTAAGAAAAACTCAAAGACACCATTACTTGGCCGTGGTGCAAGTTAGATACAGATTAAAAAAAGTGTACAAAGACATGATATGTCCAAGTAATGTAGATTGAAGAAGAACTCGCACAGGCCAACATGACCAAAATTTGATCTCATAAAGGTGTGCCAAGAGCTCAACATCAGCATACCAGAAAAGAAAATAGGCAGGATGAGAAAGGTAAATGCATGATAATATCAGTTCGAGTGATGTACATACAGGTGGGGCTTGTACCGAAGTGGATTGTCCATTAAGATTGAACAGGTTCATAGATTTTGTTGGGTTTGGATATGCTGGCACAGGCTGTAAAAGAACCCGATAAACAGTCATCAGCATCTATATGTTTCACAGGTGAAAAATCAGATTCCTTCCCATTATCATTTGGTTAATAACATACCGTTGCATTAGGATAATATTGCATGTTAAATCCCATGCCATAAGGTGGAGAAATTTGCCAGCCTGGAATTGGGCCTGGAGTGGATGTGGTTGTAGTAAAAAGGTCCTGCAGAAAATTGAATGTATACCATTAAAAGAATATGAGAAACAGCTGACACCATGCTAGGCAAGGCAATCACCACTGGAAGTTCCTTTCTTCCACCAAATTTTGTTTCTGATGCAAGAGGCTTGGATTTGGCATCAGAATTGGATTCTTGGGCTGGTGTCGAGACATCTTGAGAAGGGTATTCCCCGAGGAAATCTGGAGGTCCCTGAGCATTAGGAACATTTGATGAAGTCCAGATCTGCAAATTTGAAGAACAAGCACACAAGTTATAAATAAAATTACCTGATATCAGCATCACCACACAGGCATGGATGCATGGGGGACATAACAAAGGATTTTTTTTAAGACAAGAGAACATAACAAACTTGAAACTATAAAATTAAAAAAAAAAAATGGTAACCATAGCAATTCCCACTCATTTTAGTATCTCTATCTGAGCCAAATTTTGGAGTTGTTATTTCATTAAACAATGGATCTGGAAAAAAATCATCAGGGGTGGCCTGCAGGGACGAAAGTGATATTACAATTCACATATTGAAGACACGGAAGTCCTTCTGTGGATGCTCCAGAACATGGTCTTATATCTTGTGGATAGAGTTATTAAAAACCTTGAACTCTGAAATAGCATGGTTCTAGATATTCCTTAAACTCCTGAAGCTCAAACTAAGTCCAAAAACTAACCTGGTCATTTACCCCTCCAGCTGGTGTATTAGTAGTCTGTTGTCCAGTAGAGCTTTTATTGGCAGGCAGTGCAGAAGACTGTTGTTGCATGGTGGATATCTGTTGCCCATCAGAAACCTTGAAAGTTGAGTCACCATTGTTACCAAGCGCAGCTTGTGGAGGAACTGCACTAGAAGGTTGCACTGGCAAAGAAGTATTTAAAGGGGTTATGTATGCATCAAAAGCATCGATTAGTGTCAATGTCTCCTCCAAGGGCGCGGCTGGTACAGGGTCACCTTCAGGCAGGCTGATCCCAGATGCAGTTGCTGTCTGCACCACAGGTGCAGCTAGTGAAACACTTCCCACAGTCACAGTGCCTCCAGACACGGCTGTAGAAGCACCAGCGCTACAGGGCAGTGTTAACATCTGCTCCACAGGTAGTGAAACACTGCCAGCAGGCATTTTGTCTCCAGATGCAGTTATAGAAGCATCAGTTGCAGAATCAACACCACTGCTTGGTAATGCAAACATATGCCCTGAGGGCCCAGCTACTGAAGCACCACTACTCATGAGTATATTTTCTTCAGATGTAGCTGATGAAGGGTTATCACTAGTTGGTATTTCAGATGTATTATCAAAAGGAGTAACTGAGGGAATTGACAACTCCATCAGTAAAAATTCCAACATATTTGGTTTTGGGACTGGAGGTATGTTCTCCTTTCCAGAGGATTCATATGAGCATTTGCCTTCTTCACTGGATGGAAGATTCTCCAGCGCCACTGGTGCTGCCGCGGCATTTGAGGACTTGGAATCAGCATTTAAATCAACTGAGCTTTCTGAATTATTACTTTTCTGTTGCACAGGATTCCCATCAGCAGATGCCATAGGGCAGGAAGAAGCGGGCGTCTGCAGAAACACAGAGAATTTCATAGGACTAGAAAGTAAATAGTCTACAAGAAGAACTGACTGTATATATCAAATTGTGATTTGCAGAAAACTACAAAATACAAGTTTGTAAAACATGAGTCACACAGGAGTTTTTATTCAAAATTGTATCTAGAGCTGATATATGGAATTTCAGATCATTCCACCAGCATTCCTTGTCAACGGAAATAAACCTTCAATACAGAAGGTGAGAGAATCCATGAAAGTAAAATGATGAGAGTCTAGCAACAAATGAAATGCTTCTATTTCATCTCAAAAGTCCTGCCAGTGCAGCTTGCATGTTCTATGCCACGTTACCTCAGTCCTCGCTAGAATCAACTGGGATGCTTCTCTACAGATTTTATTATGTAAAGTAAGTGTACTCAGCCAATCTATTGTTACCACATCAATTTAGAGATTACCACACCTGACTGTGAACAGATGCATCCTTCCCGTTGGGTGCTTTAGAATGCTCAACAACCTGTAGAGGCGGAAGATTCTTCCCCAGAATATCTTTAAGAGGGCGTACCACAGGGGCATTATTCTTTTGAATGTCAGATGACCTGTTCCCAAACCTGGACTCTGTCGGTGAAAACAGGTGGACATCAGTCTGCCTGATACTTCGTATTTTGTCATCTCGAAACCTGTCATCAACAATCTCAAAGTGAGCAGCACTTTTCTTAAAACCTCCATATCTTGTATTTTCTTGGGAATAACGAGGACTTCTTCTTTCATCATCATAATATCTGAAAGTCTTGTCATCAGTTCTTCCACTAAAACCACATCTTTCACTCCGCCCTTGTCTATCTTCATAGTTCAGAGTTCTAGATCCACCAGAATATAAAACAGCCCTCCTGTTCTCACTAGACTCCTCCTTGTCAGTCTGCATAACAGCCACAATAACCTTTAACAAAATTTTGGTAGCTTTAATTGGAGCACACTCAACATATTTCCCACTATTCCCAGGATTCCAATTCATGTGGTCCAAATTGTTGAATTCACTACTTTCAATATTAGATACTGATAACTGTTGCCCAAAATTTAACGAAACATAGAAATTATGTATATGTAACCATATCTATCTTTGGAGGGATTTACCAATCTCAGCCTTGACAGTTTCTCTTCACTTTTCTCTCCATTGTATCTTCTATCCATGTAAACATGCTTGATAAAATCTCGAAGCTTTTGTAGATTACTAGAAGAACCAAAAAAAAAAGAAGCAAACTATCAGGATACATTACTCAAAATTCCCACAATAAAAAATAAATCCAATTTCCAAGCACAGTCGCATGCACGAATGTGCAATCTTGTGATCCCCTTACACAACGCAAATCGCACAATCATGATTAACATTTCTCTTAAAAATTAACATATTGCACACCAACATATAAAACCACCTGCCATCAGGAAGCTGATTACGCTGCGGATCCCAATGCTTCAAATAAATCTGTCTCGCTCTCTATTGAGAAATAAAAATAAAAAAGTTAGACAAAGAAATTAAAAAATTTCCTATAAAAATACCTACATTGTTAGCAATAAAGTAGTATTCAATTTCATGCCCAACCTCATTCCCTCCTGCTTGGAGAGCACTAACTTCTTCCGCGTTAAATTTTGCCATCGAAACCGATTTGACTCTATGCGTAAATTCCCGACTAGAAAAATTCATCAGAATTAAATTCATCTCTCATGCTTAAATAACAGAAAATTCAACAAAAAATAAATAAATAAACTTAGCCCAACAATTAAAAAACAAATAAATAAAAAAAAAATATAATACTTACTGAATTCCACTGCAGCTTGTGCAAACAAATGTGAAGAAGGTTGTGCAAACATATTGTGGTCCCTGCAAAAAAAAAAACAAAAAATAATTAATTAAATGAGATTAAAAAAGAAAAACAGAAAAGAAAGAGAGGGGGAAATTACCAAGCTATTGCAATTAATGCAACGACGATTTTCAGGGAGTTTAAGAAGACCGCGAATTATCTTCTCAATTCTCTCCTCTTCTTTGTCTTTCTTCGTCATTATTTTCTCGTGATGACGCAGCAACAAGAAGGATTGATCGATCGAAACCGCAGCGTTGTAAGGATTTGAGGGTCTGCAGATCGAATTTGAAGAAGAGAAACCCTAGAAATTGAAAATGGGGATAGGAATACATAGGAGAATTTGGTGGAAAACAATGTCTTGCTCGAGCGAGGTTCATGGAGGGAAAATAGCCGAGAGAGACGCTTTGATCGCTGTTTTTTTCGCTGATTTAAATTTGAAAACCATGTTTTGGGCTTCACGGCCCTATCATGGATGGGCATTAGCCCGATCCAGAAAATTTGCTTATAATCGCTTTTTTACTCCATAACAAAAAATAAAAAAATACAGGCTGATTGAATATTCTGAATTAACTCAAGTTAAAAAAATAAAAATAATTAAATTTATTAACAACTCGAGTTTATTGAAAAAAAAATCAAAACTAATATAACTTGTTAATTTAAAAAAAATAACTTTATGTTGATATATTTATTTCAAATAAAAAAATTAAATTGATTAACAGAATTAATTGGTAAAACCAAATCAAAACTCTAGAATATAAAATTTTAATTTAAAAAAATATATAAAATAAATTTATATTGATATATTTATTTAAAATAAAAAATAAATTATAGTTCAAATCCAGATTTACAACCTCTAAACAAGTTCTTGACCCTAGAAAATCCCCTGTTTTTTTATAACTTTGCATACAATAATTTCTTCTAGGGGCTTTTGTTTTAAGGCGTTGTAAAGAGAAATGCTATAAACAACCCAAGTATTCCACCTTAATTAAATTCTCCATGAATACACAAAGTGATTCTATACATAAATAAATGCAACTTATGGGTTTTTTCTTTCTTTCTCTATAGCAATTCATTTAATCTAACATTTTTAGGTTTATAAAAAGTAATTTTTTAGAAATTATTTTCAAAACTTTAATATATTCACTTACTATTAGAAAAGTTGATCAATATAAAAATATTTTTTAATAAAAAGAAACTCGGCTTGATTTTTAAAAGCATTTTTCTAGAGGATGCGAAAAAATAAAAAATATATTGTAATTTTTTTATAATATAAAATTTAATCTTTAATATTTTGATTGCTATATATTTTGTTTCGAGTTTTTTTTTAATTTCATCGTTTAGATTTGATTTGATTTGATTTTTATATTAATTTGATTTTTATCTTTATGATTGTTATTTTTTTCCTATCATTTTCTTAATTGAATTTTTTTTATCTATCAAATTTATTCTTTATTCTTTTGATTGTTATTTATTTTATTTAAAATAATTTATGAAATTATATTATTTTTTTAATTTCATCATTTTTTAATTCTTTTATCTATCAAATTTGTTCTTCATTATTTTAATTATTATTTATTTTATTTGATATAATTTATTAAATTTATTTATTTTCAATTTAATTGTAATTCAACTACACACACAGACACACACACACACACATATATATATATATATATATAAAAAAAACCATAGAAATCTCGACACCCTGTCCTAACCACCGCCTGTGCGACAACCATGCTTCCGAATATTCTAACATCCTTGGTGACACGTTGCTCTTTTATCTTTTTATCCCTTTCCACCACTATTTAGCTATTCAATTCAGTTGCTGTTTTAGATGTTTTAGCTTTTTAGGGTTTTTTTTTTTTTTTTTTGTTAGCACGATCTTGATCTTGCCACAAACATTTTGTCACATGAGGGTGCGTGGCAGCCCTTCGAATCTGATTTTTAAACTAAAATTGGCCGGGTTGGCAAAGATGATGCCGGTTCAACACAAAATATTTGTGATGATTTACAGTGGTATTAATCCTTCAAGTTTGTTTACTGGGTTTCGGGTTTTGTTTGCTTGGTTTCAATGGAAAACTGGCCGAATTCATTGGTTGAAGGCACTACGATTAGATTTGCTAGCCAACCTAAATGCCCCTAATCAGAATAAGGCAAAATGGAAGCATGGAGTTCAGGAATAAAAGCAGGAGAGCAGCCTCAATTGCTGTTCACTGTAAGGGCTAAAATTGAATCAAACAGAGTCAACAACAGAGAGGAGTCAAAATTGATCAAACCAGACATTACCGCATGCAAAAATAGTGCTAACGGATGTTATGGAAGTCAAAGATTTCGAATCAATTACATCCTGATCCTGTAACCATAGAATTGAACGGGTCGCAAAGAACTTCCATGAAACCACCGCTTGGGGGGGGGGTCTTCATATCCATGCATGTTTCGGTTTCAGTTCACCCTAGTAGGCATATGAGGCCCCCTGCCGCAGGGGAGGGTCCTGGCCGGACTCATGCCAACATTACATCGCATTGCAGGCACCCTTCCCCTTTACCACAGAGACAATAACAAAATCTGGAATCTGGATTTGTTGAACTTGAGGATTTAGAATTTGCAACACGGTTCAAATCGTGATCTAAAACAAAAAATGACAATCAAAACATATTGACCTGCCAAGACAGAATTTCAAAAATGTGAAAGCAGCAATAAGTGACCGAGCTGCCAAGCATTATGACCCCAACAGACCACCACATACTCAGACAAACACTCCATATCACCATCAGATGTCAGAAACATGCTACTACAAAGAAACTCACAATCACTACTCCCCCCACAGAACACTCGTGTCCACCACATTATAAAAATCAAAGTGCACTTGAAACGGGTCTGTACATGTTTTAACATTTCAATCACAAATTTGCAACCCCTTTTCTGTAAGCTACATTTTTAGGTCTCTCTGTTAGGTTTTGATTTGGTTTCTTTATATGCCAGGGGTGAAAAGGAAGCATGTGATTAGTGAGAGACCGCAAAGCTGAAGAGCCCATGAACTTCTCCGTGATTAATTATTGCTTAAGATAACTAAATATTAACAAGAATATGAAAAGATAACAGAGAGGCAAAAGCCACAAACTTTGCAACTCTCTGGCATCTAACAAAATATCAACAGAGATATGAAACAAGGATCCAGAAACACATTCTAAACCTCTAACCAGTCTCTATGGAAGATTATAAGAAATTACTTACAGAATTTTTTCCTCTTCTATTTTCATGCATAATGTATTCCGTTGGCACATATCTATCTAGTGAATGCTCCAGTGTTGAATCAGATGGGAACTTGGAAGTCGAATCCCGGGGTGTCATATTATTTCAGCCAACTGCTACTTTGATATTCATGGTTAAGGGAGAAAACAAAAGGGGGGAAAGGAAACAAAGATCTGTACAAAGATCTGCAGCCAAAACTCCACAAACCCCTTCACAAGCAGGATCTGTGCAGGTGAACCAGTTATCAGAACAAAAAAAACGAGTGGGTATAAGACCTGGCAAGTCCTAATCAAAACTGCCAGATGGCAGATTAATGAGGCAGAGGCAAAAAAAATAAAATAATAACCCTTCTCCCTTCTAAATGCCACAGCACCTGTTAGAAACCTGCTGGAAAGGCTAATGACAAAAGGCCACTGCCACGGATGATAGAAACACCAGACTGTTCCAGCAAGAACAATGTAAAGTCTATAACTGGATTCTTTGGATGCAGACATCCAAGCTAAAGGAGCTAGCAAATTCCTATCATCTCATATGTAGTTTTTCTCATTCCACCCATCAACATTTATGTCCTCGGAAGAAGCTTTGATTGCTTCAGCATTCATTAGAGCAACCACAGCCTTGTGAATTGCAAGATCTGCCCTGTAAAGCAATCTCTGTGCCCTATCTCTCTTGAGCTTAGCCACATTAAGTGCATGCTTAGCTGCACCAGAAGCTTCACGCAACCTGAGCTCATCAAGACCTGAATCATTCAACTGTCCACGGCCATGCCTCGCATATCCATCTGTCTGGTGATGTCGCTGGCTAGGCCAGTCAGAAAAACCCACATTCCAATGACGAAATCCATTTCTCTGATCCACCATTCTGTGATTATATGAAGCAGCCATCTGAACATCATAGGGAGACACAAAGGTACCAAGTTTCTTTGACTTGGTCCTGCAAAGTTTCTGGAGATTATTCCTATCATAACCATCACCAGTCAGTGAGACATATCCGCGGCCACGGGCATCTCGTGGTGAAAACACCCTGGGTGATATCTGAGGCAACGGGGAATCATCAAAAGATTCATTGTTATGTACTGAATATATTGTCTTTTCATCCCCAGAAGCGAAGCCATTTATTCTTCTTCCTATGAAAACAAACATAATATGATTAACGTGAAAGTTGAGAAGCATATCAAGGATGGGAAAATGTGGGAAAAGAAAAGCAGGGTCACAATCTCAATGGGTAAAAAACATTACCATAAGGGTGCAAGCCGTCATGATTTCCTGCTAAGCCGTTGCTTTGTCCAGCAACTGAAAATTTTTTATGCGACCTTTGTTTTGATCCCTTGTTAGGCACTTCCAAACCCCTTGGTTTCAAACAGAAAGCATACATGGGTGGCTTGTCAGAAAGTGCAAACTTCTCATGGCTTCCATTAGAGATACCTGTTTGACTTCTTGTCATTGCTTGCTCCCAATCCCTCAATTGCTGCTGATACCTTTCCCAAAGTGGCGGCTGCATATAACCCATAATTTCACATCAAGTTAGACCAAAAACTATGTTAAGAGAAAACAAATCAGCATACAAATGACATATACAGAAACGAAACATATTATAAAGATAAACCAAGTTTGATGAAGTTATATGCTGCCCCAAAAGATTAGAGAACTGCCTGGTCAAATTAAAGCATAATGATAGATCCTTTATTCCATTAATATAGATCTGAATAGTGGTCATGCAACTGACGACAATTGAATAATTCAACAGAAAACTTGTAAAGAGAATAAAATCATACAAAAGCTACATCAGTAAAAACAGTGACATAGTTTCCCTGCACCCTTCCCTTTGGTTCAACAGAAACCACAGCCTACTCATTGATTTTGCAGACCAAATATCCCAACATAAATCTATAGAAACTCTACTCCGTTTAACAAAACTAGAATGTATGTACTCAAATGACTGCAAAACATAGAAGGGATATAAAAGAAATTAATTATATTCACGATGGATAGGGAGTCAAAAGAACATTCATAAACAGTGACAACACCTCCATGTTAATGGTATGGCATCAGCTGGGTGTTTATTTTCCTTTTCTGTTTGGGGGAAGGGGGTTTGCAATTCTGAGAATCAACAGACATCATTATTATGACCATCGCATCCACCATCAAACATTTTTACCAGTTCGATGGCCAGCAACAGGACAAACAGAAAATACATCCTCATATATTCTAGAGGAGAACTTTGCATAGGTTCTTTAACTATGATGCATTGTTTGCACTAATCTTTTCGAAGTATCCTTTTG